ACCCAGTTTCCTTGTTTTATATATATCTTCTCTTTCAGTTTTCCGCTGTGTTTGGTGTTTTGGTTTAAGTTATCTGCATGTTTTAAGGCTTTAAGTAGCATGGTTTTAAGGGGTGTTACAATCGTTCTAGGATTTTATGTGTGATACGTGTCGTTGTTGTTGTGTCTTGCTTATTATGTGATTATCTGTTGATTGATTGATGATGATGAGTATCGTGGTCATTGCGCAAGGGCCAGTGTGACTGATGATGATAATGATGATGATGAGATTGTAATTGGTGGAAAATACACTGTTGGCGGTTGGTGTAACACCCCGAAATTTTTCAACTTTTAAGACTTATATAATAAAGGTAAATTCTCATTAAATCCAAAAAATATAACATAAGAGTATGGGGTGCTGTGCCACACCTGAGCTAGAGAACTCAGGTGCACAGGCTAACTAACTAAAATCCTCAATAATGTCAATACATAAGCATGGCACGCAGACCGAAAGGGAAACTATCTACTCTACGCTCCAAATCTCTAGCGCGCTCCAGTGCCTACTCATCTGTGCCTGAAAGCCAAATATATCTGTTCAGCGAGAGATGCTGGTAACCCACTCCAACGCGTTGAAATACATTATAGATAGATATATATAGATATACGAAAATCATTTTGAAGCAGGAAGATATATACTTAAGGGACACTAGTTTTAAAACCAGGAATAGACTCAGGAAATAGGGATGAGCACATCAGACAACAATAGACAGTTAAGTAGAAATAACATCATAAGGAATACGCATTTACGGTCACAAGCCACTTCTCAATTCCAAACCATATCATCATCCAATCATCATTCATATCACATAATCATTGATGGCGCCACGGGACCAATCGCATGCCCCGAACATGAGGGTTAATGCCTATAGCATTAACACGGCCTCGCAGCACCCTACCTCAATACCGTGGTACAAGGGGAGTTGATCGCAACCAACCCTTTGAGAACCGCTGACGAACTCAACGTCGGACCACGATCCGACACACCGCTGACGCGCCTAGTCGGTGGACCGTGATCCCCTTTACAAGGGGGGACTTACGACCCTACACACCATTGGTGCGCACAATCGGTGGGCCGTAGCGGATCAAGCCCGACACACCGCTGAGCTAAACTCAGTCGGTGGGTAAAGATCCTCGGAGACTACGGTCCTACATACCGATGTCCCACCACTCGGTGGGTCGCAGCCAGTCGTAGCCCTACACACCGCCTGATTACTCAGGTCGGTGGACTACAACCTTCCTCGGCTTGTTGGCCCCATACCGCCTGGCGCATCCCGGTCGGTGGGTCATATCACCGAGGCCCATGTGGACCTTCAGTCCTATACATAATCTTTATATACCTGACCAGTCTCTACCAGCCTGGTTAACAGTTGGGATGGTTCTCAACCCATTCAACTGCCCGTATAGTGGACCTCAGTCCTATATCACATCAATATCCCTGACCGATCTTAACCGGCCTGGTTAACAGTTGGGATGGTTCTCAGCCCATTCAACTGCCTGTATAGCCCAATTGGTCTTAACCAAGTTGGGGTCATGCATCATGTAACACACAACAGCACATAATGACACATAATTCACATAGGGAAGGGGGAACATATAATTAAGCTTACATGTGATCATTCACACACTAAGAATAGTTCCTTAGGGCTCATATAACTTCCACCTAGGTCAACGGGTTACCAATTCAACTAGCATGCAATTCCTAAGACTCGTTTAACCTACGAATAGTACCCGAAATTCTAAACTAGACTCAGACACGACAAACGGGGTCCGTTGGGACACCATGGGGGACGGGGAACATCAAACTGTGAAGCTGGGAACCCGGGGTGGGGTGTGGACCAGCGGGTAGCCGGTGGGTGGGGGTCACCCGCTGACTGCCCGCCGGTGGGCGCTGTTCCAGGCAGCGGGTAGCCGGCTGCACAGTGGCTGCCCCACCCCCACCTACCCCCCACTGACTCTTTTCTCAAATATTCGTCCCGGTGGCCTTTGTGGAACCCGAAACCATGCTTAGACACTTTTAAACGCAAATAACGACACCACGTAAGCAATTAACGAATCAAAAGCAAGAATCATGTAGGACTTATCCTATTATAACTCCTAAATGTAAACAACACCCAAACATGCGAATTCCCTCCCAAATACAAATCGAGAACATCATAATACAAACCGCCAATCCAACCTAGGGCTCTAATCCCACCCAAATCATCAAGAACATATTTAATATTTAACATCAAGAAAATATCAAGATTCGTCAAGAATCATCACCTCATAATCAAGAACTTCTTCTCAACATTAAGATCATCAAGATTATAAAGAAAGCATATAAATCATCTTATCAATCATCAAGAACATAATATAATTATCATAATCAAGACACAGAATATAGAGGGAGGCCAAGGAAAGAGATTATAGCGAAGAAAATAGGTTTTGTTGAGACATGGGTTACCTCATTCGCTTATCAATCCAAAATACGTTAACGAAACCTGTAAATCAAATCAGATAGAATAATTAAACCCTAGGGGATTCAAACCCTAATTTTCTCCCAACACTAAAGGTATCCTACCCATCTAGGCTAAAACCCTTTTGTTAACCAATGGCATTATTACTTAATTCTAACCTAATCTATTTCGATTAACCCATATTGTAAACCCGTAGCCATTATTATCACCAATTACAGGGATAATACTATCACCAATTACAGTGACAACGTTCATGGCTCACCAAAAAATTATATAATTAAACATGCTAAGGGTAGGGTTCGAACACTAGACGTTCCGCCACACCATCATCTTCTTCCGTTCGTCATCACCATTACAGTAATGGTTGCTACGCACGCCTTACGCTCCCCATCCCAGATATCCACTATTATGACAGTATTGACACCTTACCTCCATCATCACGGATTGCCGTCACTACCGTCGAAAGGGCGATGTTTGCCTTTGCTTCATGAGAAAGGTGACAGCGGGTAGTTTCCGGGAAGTGCATCGCCTGCCCTCCTCCCGTCGTTTTCTTCTGCTAATCTCGCCGTCGATGTCCGCCTTCGTTGCTTTGCTACTTTGCCAGGACAAAGGGTGTTCGGAGTGCTCCCCGGGATCGCCGTTGCTTCGGTCGGAGTTGTTCGCTGCCGGGAGGGAGAGAGGGACAAGGGATCTAGGTTGTGGTTGTATGGGGTTCGTTTCTTCTTACGTCGAGAGAGAGAGAGAGAGAGAGAGAGAGAGAGAGAGAGAGAGAGAGAGAGAGAGAGAGAGAGAGAGAAAGAGAGGGAGAGATGCGAAGGGAGGGGGGTTACGTACGTGTATATATATATATATATATATATATATATATATATATATATATATATATATATATATATATATATATATATATATTTGTATACATATACGTATGTTTATTCGTATAGGATTAGGTGTATATGTATGTATGGCATCGCCTTTGGAAGAAGGGGAGGAGGGGAGGTGTTTAGTTTGCTCTCCTCGTTCGTATGTATGTACTATATTATATATATATATATATATATATATATATATATATATATATATATATATATATATATATATTCTCATACGTATATACGTATCCTAGTCTATCTTTGTATAATAATAATAGTAATAATAATAATAATAATAATAATAATAATAATAATAATAATAATAATAATAATAATAATAATATATTATTATTATTATTATTATTATTATTATTATTATTATTATTATTATTATTATTATTATTATTATTATTATTATTATTATTATTATTATTATTATTATTATTAGGATTAGGTTTCTTGGTTTGGATGGATCAAGGTTAAGTATGTTTGGGCTTGAGCTACACTATACTTATTGGACCTATAGGGTATATATATTTGGCTTTGTATTTGGACAAGGGTCTATGATCCACCGTGGGTCATATCAATCAATTAATGGAGATTAAATCCCTTTTTAATTGTTCTTGGCGAAATTAATTTCATAATTAATTCCGGGTTGAGGGATCGTAACACGGGGTGTTACAGTTGGCACCACTTGTGCCCGGTCATTGTACTAAAGGTACAGACCATAGCGGTGACTGTGCTAAAGGCACACACCCACCTTAGATTTGCTTGCCGTTGAGCATGGGTCAAGTTATAAGTGCTGCGGTGTCATGTTAGAGCTATATGTGCTAACCCCTTGATATTGGCACTAGAGGTGCGGATCATTGAATGGCACTGCGGCACCATCTTGATATGTTAGTGGTTGAAAGGTGGTTTTTCAGTGGAAGCATGTAGTTGCCAGGAGGCATAAGGGGTCGGGATATAAGGGTGGCCTGGAGGTCTAGGTTGAAACTGATATAAGGACAGAGGGGAGCTACAAGGTTGGAACATGGTATAAGGTTGGAAGATGAATTTTGTGCTTTGTTGACTACTTGCTAATTGATTGTAATGATTGTCTTTGTTGCCTCTACTTTGTTATTTGTATGCATATCTGCATGTCATGCCTTGAATTGCATACTTTGGATGCCTATTAGTTCGTATGATTATTCTATGATATCGAGTCTGTTAATATGTCTTGAGAGTCTTGATCTTGGATTTAAACTAGAGTCTCGTAAGTATATATGTATTCCAGTTTCAAAATGAGTTTCTTATATCTACCTATATTGTACTTAACGCGTTGGAGTGGGTGACCATAATTATTTGCTGACGGATGTTATACCAAATGTTTTTCAGGTGATGAGCATTAGCTTCGGAGCGCGCTAGCCAGAGCCTTGGACTTCGCTTAGTTAGTCTTAGCATAGTAGTTGGCATGCGTGCCTTGGGATTATATTGAATATCGATTTGAGGATTTCTTATGCTTGGTTAGTTTAGCTTGTGCACCTAGGTTCTCAAACCTAGGTGTGGCATAGCACCCCGACACTTACGGATAGCTGTATGCCATGTTTTGGATTTAATCAATGGATTCGCCTTTATTTTATAAGTTTTAAATATTTCAAAATTTAGGGGTGTTACAGTTGGTATCAGAGCCTAAGTTCGACCGTAGGATGAGACCCTTAAGACAAGACGTTAGGACATTAAGCTCGAACTCTAGGTACATACATACTTGAGATGTTAAGAATTAGACTCTAAGAATCTAAGCTGCATATAGGATAGTACTCTATGTTTAAGACCTTAAGATGCTAAGCCATAACTCTAGGTGCTTGAATACTTAGGACTTAGGAGTCTTAGGATGCGCGGTGAGGCTGTGAGTTTATCTATCATTATCTGCCTAATTTCTCCTCACTCTATCTTGTGCTTAGCTTAAAGATTCCCTATAATTATAGCATCAAGGTAAGGATGTGAACCCCTAACTTACCATTACAATCGACGTTGGCCCTGTAGAACACCAGAATGACGCCAACAAGAAGTCAGTCAAGGACCCCTGAACCCTCCGCCCACGAATCACTAGTTCAGAATCTACAACAACTGACTCAGGTTGCCCAGACACCTAGCAACGCCATCCTCCATAACAATAACCGACCACCACCACCACCGAACGGAAACTCTGATGTAGCTCGCCAAGTCTCGAACCATCGCCCGCCTGTCTTCTCAGGGGAAGAAGATCCCACAATCCTCGAAGAATGGATCCGAACCTTCGACAAGATCTTCGAGGTAGTAGAATGCCCGGAGGGACACCGTGTAGAGATAGCCTCCTTCTACTTCGGACACGAAGTCAATTTTTGGTGGGTCCACGAAGGACCTGCTTGTAGGCAAGAACCAGGGTTCAACTGGGAGTCCCTAAAAATGCAACTACGGGGACGGTTCTACCCCGCGCACATAAGGACAGCCATGTACGAGGAATTCCTCCACCTGAAACAAGGGATGGCCACGGTCATGGAATACCACAAAAGATTTCTCGAGCTAGCTCATTTCGCGCCCAAATTGGTGCCTACAGAAACGACTAAGATAGAGAAATTTGTGACCGGCCTCAACTTCGAAGCCCGGAAGGCTCTAATCGTAAGCAAACCCCGAACCCAAAACGAGGTTTACACCAGCTCCGCCGACCTCTACCGGATCCAACTTCTACAACAAGGAATTCAGGAATAGATCCACAAGAGGAATACCGGAAGTGGGGAACCGCCTGTGAAAAGAGCAAGGAACGACTCTAACACAAGGACGGTTAACACATCTAATCAAGGATCGTCTATAAGGAACAACGAAACCAACGCAAGACCATTCCTTTGCAGGAGATGCAATAAGGACCATAGGGGCAATGACTGCCTTAGAAACACCTTGCGATGCTTCAACTGTGGGGGAGAAGGACATAAAGCCTTCCAGTGCACTCGACCCCCGAGCACAAATCCTACGGTCATGGGCCAACAAGGGAGCGCGCATAACCGAGGGAATTAGTCGCACCCAGGCCGACCTTGAAACCAAAGCCAACATCGACACAGAAAATGTAGCTCTAGGAGACGAGGACGCCACAAATCAACCAAAGGAGAATCCGGAAGAGGAATTCTGCTTAGGATAAACTGTGAACCCCTGTAACTTACCCTTTTTGTAGGATCGCTTATTTAGTTCGGTTATTTAGAAATTTTCATGCCCTTAAATAAAAGACAAAGTCAATTAATTCAATCAGCTTAATTTCCCCTGACTACTGCCCCTCGGAGTAAGTGAAGGACTAAAATCTGCGCCTTCTATAATCTATGAATCCCCAAAACCCAACACGTGGTGAAACCAAAAGGTTCGACAAGAAGATCTAATCGGAGCACTTGCCACACCGGATCAAAAGAATAACAGGAAACCCCAAAGCATGGAAGAAGTGCACAAAAAAACTAATGTAACCAATAGGAATGAAACCTTGGACCTCTTATTTACAAGACCAAAGCCTTAAGCACTAAGCCATAGGTATTTCTTAAAGCTCCAAGGGGACACAACTTTCTTAAACCCCTCCAAATCCCTAAAACCCACAAAATCCCCAAATCAAAAACCCTTCTTCCTCTTCTTCTTCCCACTCTTTCCCTCTCTCTCTCCCTCTCTCCATCCACACCAGCTGACCACCCAAAACCCCTCAGCCGCACACCAGCAACCACCGCTGACTGCACGCCACCGGCCGCTCGCCGCCACAATCCCATCGACCACCCGGCTAACGGCCACCGCCCGCGAGACACCCATGACACCACTCTCCCGTCGAAACCCCGGCCAGACCCCGTTGCCACGCCACGATGCCACCGCCATCCCCGCCTAAAGGCAGCCAAGATCCTCGCCGCTGACTCCCGGGTCTCCGCCGGAACGAAGCAACACCGCCGCAGCGCGCCGTCGCCAAGCTCGCTGGTAGTCCCACCGGAATTCTCGCTGGAAATTGCGACGGAGCATCAAGCCACGCCACCGCCACCTTTTGGAGAATCCTACAATGCTGAAAAAGCCCGTCGGTACCCGAGTCTCGGAATGGCACGACGCCGACTACACGGTGATCGGAGGTAAAGCACTCGAACCCGACCAATTCTCTCTGGAATTGGTTGATACGCTTAGATTCAAAGAACTTTTAGATACCTATCTCACGATAAAAGGAGATACCTACCCCGAATTGGTGAAGAAGTTCTATTGTCATTTGGTAGACACCAAACGGGGGGACAAGTTAGAAATCACTTCTAAGGTCCGGGGTAAGGAAATAGTGCTCTCCGAAGGCCGCTTGGCTGAACTCTTGAAACTGACCACCACGGGTGTGTCAGTACTCGATACACGGGGTACAAGGATTAGCTTGGGTATTTGCTAGGAAGAGAAGGTGGTTTTACTTCGGCCACAAGGCCAAACAAGAAGTTACTAACCGCCGAATAGAAAATGCTAGTTATGATTGTGTCCGACAGCTTGTTTCCCACTAACAACAAGAGCAAGGATGTGGGGAGCTTGGAATGCACCTTTACCTATTTCCTTAAGCATAAGGTCAAGTTCAACTTACCCGCCCTTATGTTGAAACACATGGAATTCTGTAAAACTAGCAACCGACTCAGCCTACCCTACGAGATGATCCTAAGTTATGGAAAGAAAGGGAGTGGACCTAAGCCGGATTGAAGCCAGGCTCATGGGTGGGATGATTTTCAATGCCCAAAACCTCCACCGCAACGACATCTACTATATCGGAGATGGACAGTACATCACCCTCGAGGAGGTTTGCCTGAAATCCCCGGAGGAACGGCGAGTGTTGGTTTATCAGTTGGAAATCTCTAACAAGAAGCTGAGACGGGCAATGCAAGAAAGTGGAGAACCGGAGGAACAGGAAGAAGAAAGCGAGCCTAGCCAGCCTGAGCCCGCACAAGGAAGAGAAAACATGGAGGACCGAGATGAGATGACCATCAATGAGCGCATCCTTGCGCAGCTAACGAGTATTTTCATATTTTTCTATGTGTTGCTTGCAAAACCCCTTTCAGGTGGGCCCAACAGTGTGAAGAAGTCCAGTTAGATTAGTCTCGTAGTTAGAGATATTTAGACTCTAGTTTTATTGATGATTATGTTATGGATTTTAGACTTATCAACTTTATGTTTTGAGGATGTTGTAGACTTTTGGGGTGACGTTATTTCCCCTTATGTTTTCATTTTTTATAATGGATGCCAGACTTTTACTTTATTTCTAGTTTTACCCCTTTAGCCTGTGCAATCACCACGGAGTGGTGGTTGTGGCGGTGACACTCTCACTAATTATCTTTTAGTTTTTCCGCTTCTAAGTGATGTTAATGACTGTTTAGAGTTGTAATTAAGAGTTAGAAAAGTGGGGTGTTACAAATTGGTATCAGAGCGGTACGAACCGCGGGAGAGTTAGGAAATATGACCCTTAAGATTGAGTATAGAAACTCTAAGTAAAAGTCCTAGGAAGGACAAGTTAAGAAAACACCTCTAAGTTGAAGTCTTAAGAAGGACAAGTTAAGATAAGAACTCTAAGTGAAATCCTAAGAAGGATAAGAATAGGGAAAGAGCCCTAAGTTATGGAAATGGAGGTGAGAAAGACTGTGACACCACGTAATCCAAATTCAATTTAGGGATTAATTAAGTAATTAATCCTAATCCAATTGATAATTTAATTCCTTAAATTCCTGAAAATTCAATAGTCGGGGACTAGTAATTAACTAGTCATCCCAAAGTCAAGTGTTGTACCTTAAGCTTTGTGAGTAGTTCCCTTGTTCCCTTACACCTCTTAATTTTAGTAAGGGTAATAAAGACATTTCACCTTATGTTAGTAATGCAAGCTAACCTAGAAGACACCCTTCATTCTTTCCCTTACACTTTCTAAACTTGAGCTCCTCCTTCTCTCTAAAAGTTAGATAGCTTTTCTTCCAAGCCAAGTTGAAGCTCTACAAAATCTTCAAAGTTTGTCTTCAAAATTCCACCTTTCCTACCTTTGAGCATCTAGGAGGGTAAGAGCTATGCTTCTTTTGGGTTTTTAGTGTTTTCTAAGGTGTCTTTTCTTAAAGGTATAATCTTTATGATCTTTTGGTGTATTCTTGAAGTGGGTGAGGAAGGTGAACCTTGTTAGGAGCTTTGGGAAGTGTTAAGTGGAGGTTTTTGTCTACAAGAGGTAACCCATGCTCTACAAAATCTATTTTGTTTACCTATATGATGATTTATTGGATTCTACATGTGTTTTTGCTATGAAATGTGAGTGTTGATGCATTGTCTTGTGAAAATGCATATCTAGAGCTTGTTATTAGGGTTCATATATGCCATTGCTTGGCTATTCCTTTGATTCAAGTCATTTTGTTGTATTTGGTGGATTTGGCATGTTTTGGACTTGAATTTGAGCTTGGGGTTGAAAACCCCCGAAGGGATGTTTTTGGTACAGGGTGTGTACCCGCGGGCGGAACGGCCGGCGGGGCACCACCCGCGGGCGGAACCACGGGTGGAGGTCCACCCGTGGCTCAACCCGCGGGTACAATGTTGGTGTTGTTTGGGGATTTGTTCCCCGTGATTCTTTTGACTCGGTATTTGGTCTTTTGACTTCCCGATATTCTCTTGTGGAACTATTTGAGCGTCTTCTTGATGTTTCGTATGTCTAGAACCATATGGTAGGAATCCATTTAGGTTTTGGTGTCTTGAATCGTGCTAAGTGTTCAACATTGTGATTCGTTGTACCATGATGAGTCTTGTGTGTTTTTCGAAACTATGTTTGGTTTACCCGTTTGATAAGCATGCAAGTTCGGTGTTTTAATGCTAGCGTGTGTGTTGTTTGTCCTTTCCTATTGTTGATGATGACTTGTGTTAATCATCGTTGTTGTTGGACTGTGATCCATTCCTTGATTGAGTATGGTTTCATATCTTCGTTGTGATCCGTTGATTGATTCCTATTATGGTGTGGTGTGTGTGGATGTACCTGGATTGCACGATTAATGGTATGAGACATTAGTCACCAAGGTATGGCAGTGGTCCTCGTGGTGGCCATGACGCGATTATGGAGTTTTTGACCTGAGTGATGGGTTCACGTATTTCTTGGGTGGCATGTGTTGCCGCGTGTGTGATCGGTACCTCGCGTACTATGAATCGGTGGTCTTGTTGGTGGTTGTAGGTGGGGGATGACGGTCCCAGGAGGGAAAAGGTTGGACTTGGATGTACAGGGGTCCTGGAGGTAATGGTTGGAACTAGACCTAAGGTTGGGGGTAGCCATAAGGTTGGAATCAAGCATAAGGAAGGCATCTCAATTCATGATGGGTGATGTCACGAAGGCTTGTGTAGTCGTTGTTGTGTATTTCTCTATTTGTGACATGTGTTGTAACAAAGGCATGTGTTGCCAATGGTTGTGTCCTTATTCTCTTGTGTTATGCATGTCGGGTGTTAATCTACTGTGTGATGGTAGATTATGCCTTGAGCTGTTCTTGTGAGTCGTTATTACTTCTTGTGGTATTGGGATGTGTTCCCTTATCTTTATTGTGAGTGCAAAGAGTCTTGGGTTTGACTTCTATCTTGGCTTTGAAATTGATATATACTATATCTCGTTTCGCAAATGATTTTGTATATATATATAAACTATCTACCTATGATATTTCACATGTATTGGTGGGTTACCAGCATCATTCGCTGACCGGGCGTGTCCCATATATCTATGTGTATCTTTCAGGTGCTGAGTAGATGAGAGCGCGGTCTAGAGGCTGTTAGTGTAGATCCCTTTCCTTTGTGATGGTTTGGGCCTGGGTGCCTTTGATTAGACTCTAAACTTTATGTTGTTAGCTTTGCTTTGGGGATTGATAGATTATGTTGCAGATGTTTACGCCTGTGCATTCACCGTTGTGTGAACGTGGCATAACACTCTACATTTTCCATCTATTTCATGCTTAAGTCTTTCGCTGTGTATGTTTTATGGTTAGTTTATCTGCATGTTTAAGGTTTAAATTCGTATGGAAATCGGGGGTGTTACAGTTGGTATCAAAGCCTAGGTTTGAGCCTAGGATGATAGAGTCTAGACTTCTAAGTGGCTAAGAGTGGTTCGAGACCTTAAGGTGACAATAAGAATCTAAGTGTTTAGGCTTAGGATTCCTAGGATACGCGGTGAGCTGAGTGTTGTTTACAGTTGTTTGCTTGTTTGTTGTCTTGTTGGTAACCGTGTTGTTGTTGTAGAAGCTTTGCGATGTCTCCTTGTCAACGTGCGAGTACTCCGGAGAACCCAACGAATGAGCAGCTCGCCCAGAACCTACAGCAGTTGACGCATACTATGCAGACTCTTAGTGAGGCGTTGCTGAACAACAACCATCCCGTGCCACCTCCTCGGCCTGCCGGGCATAAAGATATGGGGCGTCTCGTGTCGGGTCACAGACCACCGACCTTCGTGGGTGAAGAATATCTAGTTGTCTTAGAGGAGTGGATGAGAACGTTTGATAAGATCTTTTCGGTTGTTGGTTGTCCGGAAGAGCGGAGGGTAGAGCTTGCGACGTTCTACTTCAGTCATGAGGCTGATTTATGGTGGATACACGAGGGTCCAGCCTGCCTCGAGGAGCCTGAATTTGGTTGGTCTACCCTGAAGGATCGGATGCGTGAAAGGTTTTATCCGGCGCATGTGCGAGCCGCGATGTACGAGGAATTCCTTCATCTTCAGCAAGGATCTCTATCGGTGGTTGAGTACCACAAGAAGTTTCTAGAGGTTGCGCGCTTCGCCCGAATGCTTGTGCCTACCGAGCTCGCCAAAGTTGAGAAGTTCGTTGCTGGCTTGGATTACGAGGCACGAAAAACTCTAACCGTGAGTAGACCGAGCTCTTTGAGGAAGCATACCTGAGTACTTCGGATTTGTACCATGTTTAGCAGCTGCAGCGAGGGTCTTATTAGCTTGCAAGAAAGAGGACCGAGAGTGGAGGCTCTTCCAACTACAAGAAGCCGCGATCGAGCTTTCAAGCTAAGAATGCATCATCTCCAACCGAAGGACCCAATCGAGCGGAGCATGGAAATCAAGCCTAGATGTTCCCGTGTCGTAGATGTGGGAAGGTACATGCAGGTCAGGACTGTCATGGTCAAGCGTTCCGGTGTTTTCGTTGTGGAAATAGGGGTCACAAGGTCGCCGAGTGCCCTCAGCAAGCCAATCAAAGGGCATTGCCGCCACCCCCAGGAGCCGGAGGAGCAACAGGAGGTAGCTCGAGTCGTGGAGCAGCCGGGGCCAGGCCATCGGGGAGAGTCTTCGTGATGGGGCTTAGTGGAGGAGGAGCTAGTAGGTAATCTTTTTCTAGCCTACTCTTGTCTTTAAAACGCATCTTGTTCCTTGTTGCCTTGCCTACCCTTGTCTTGAGTCTTCGTGATGGGGCTTAGTGGAGGAGGAGCTAGCAGGTAATCTTTTTCTAGCCTACCCTTGTCTTTAAAAGGCATCTTGTTCCTTGTTGCCTTGCCTACCCTTGTCTTTAAAAGGCATCTTGTTCCTTGTTGCCTTGCCTACCCTTGTCTTTAAAAGGCATCTTGTTCCTTGTTGCATTGCCTACCCTTGTCTTTAAAAGGGTATCTTCGTGTGTTGTCTGTTTGAGTTGCCTTGTGTTTCCCAGGTGACGAATAATTTTCTTAGTTTTTTGTGTGAGCAGTAAATCCTTTCTTGTGAAGCCAGACAAATAAACTTTTATTCGCAAACCTTATGTTTTGAACCCAGGTGTACCATTTGCCAACCCAACCCTTTAACCATTTGAGCTAATTATATTTCTTAAGACTTATCCAATTTTAATTCCATCTAAACTATAAATTCTCACTTTACCCAAATCCCCAAATTAAATCATCTTCTTTTCCCAATTTTCCCCAAATCCCTAAATTCCAAATTTCCCTTTTTCTCTCCCTTCTCTACCCGTGGAGGTCAGCCGAACCAGCCCCCCTGCCTCGTCGGAACCGTGCAGTGAGAGAGAGAGGGCTGCGAGAGAGAAGAAGAGAAGGAGAAAAGAAGAGTGGGAAGCTTTGGTTTTCTTTTGTTGAGCTTTGGGTCATCTCCTAATCATGCCTAGAAGATCAAGTTTGGCTAGAGAAGTGGAATGGGTGGATACCCATTATCTCGTTCTTGAAGGTAAAGCTTTCGACCCAGAATCTTTCTCTAGTTCTATGTTAGATATGCTTAGATATCAAGGATTGCTTGATGGGTTCCTCGCCATAAGGGCCGATACATACCCAAGTTTGGTTAAGGAATTTTATTGTCACATAGTTGTGACAAAGGATGGTGGTAAGCTTGAAATCACCTCTAAGGTGAGAGGCGTGAAACTGGTTTTGTCTGAAAAGAGGCTAGCTCAGCTTCTAAGTTTATCTGTTTTGGGAGTTGCTCAGTACAGTGTGGTAACTCGTGGATTAGTACGGATACCATGGGGTACCGGGACAATTTGAGTTATTTGTTGGGCCGCACGAGTGGTTTCACTCAAGCTTCAAGACCGGAGAAGAAATGGTTGTCTGCCGAGCAAAGGATTTTGGTCATGCTTGTGTCTGATTGTTTGTTGCCCAATAACAACAAAAGTCGGTTGTTGGGAAAGTTGGAGTACACCTTTGCTTTTTGCCTTAAGAACATGGTAAAGTTCAATCTGCCGGCTTTTATGTTGCAACATATGGTCTTCTGCTGTGATCACAACCGAAAGAGCCTACCATATGGTATGGTGTTGAGCTGGATTCTTGTCAAGAAGGGTGTGAGCGTTGATGATTGTATCCCGAAGCCCGTAGGAAAAGTGGTATTGGATGCCATCAATCTGCGAAGTTGCAACTTGTTTCAGTTGGACGATGGCGATTATATCACTCTTGAAGAAGTTGCTAGGAAGACCCCCGAGGAAAGAGCTGAGTTGGCAGTTGAGCTCGAGATTCCTGTTGGAAAGTTGAACCTTGCTGTCCAGAGCTTGGGAGGTGATGTAGATGACGAGGGTGAAGCAGGCCATGAAGAGGAAGTGGAAGCGCCAGAAGCTGCCGAAGCCGAGAAAAGTGACTCCGAGAGTGAAGAAAATCAAAGAAGAAGGGAAGCCCGAACCAAAAGGGAGCACGATTCTATGACGCACGAGGAGCGTGTGATCACCTTGCTACGTCAACAGAACCGGATGATCGAAGAAGGCTTCGCTTTCATGAAGACGCAGTTTGTTGCCATTCACCAGAGGTTAGATCAGATTGAGGCTAGCTCAAGCCGAAGAAGAGGAGACGACGAGGAGTCCGAGGAGAGCATCGACGAATCTGAGAGCGAGTCGTTCTAGCTCGGTGTTGTGGTAATCTCGTTCCCCTTTCTTTAGTTGTTGTTACCTTTTAAGTTGTTGCTACCGCTCGTGAGTTGTTGTTGCTGCCTGGTGTGTTCGTTTTGCTTGTTTGATTAGTTGAGTAGTTAGTTTTGTGGTTGGTGCTTTGAGCTAGTTGTTTAGATCTCTGGTGGATGGTTAGAAGTTGATGGTTGTGTTTGGTTTAGAGTTTGGTATGCTCACTATCTCCGTTGATTATTTCTTTCAACTCCTGAATGACATGACATCTTGCTTCGTTTTTGGTACCTTTTGAACCCTTTGAGTTTGACCAAATAAGGATGTTCTTGGCACTCTTGTCACATGGTTGCTTTATTTCATCGGTTGTATTAATTCGTCGTACCCAAGCTTCGGGGACGAAGCTTCCTTGAAGGGGGAGAGGATGTGACACCCCGTAATCCAAATTCAATAAAGGGATTAATTAAGTAATTAATCCTAATCCAATTGACAATTTAATTCCTTAAATTCCTGAAAATTCAATAGTTGGGGACTAGTAATTGACTAGTCAACCTAAAGTCAAGTGTTGTACCTTAAGCTTTGGAGTAGTTCCCTTGTTCCCTTACACCTCTTAATTTTAGTAAGGGTAATAAAGACATTTCACCTTATGTTAGTAATGCAAGCTAACCTAGAAGACACCCTTATTCTTTCCCTTACACTTTCTAAACTTGAGCTCCTCCTTCTCTCTAAAAGTTAGATAGCTTTTCTTCCAAGCCAAGTTGAAACTCTACAAAATCTTCAAAGTTTGTCTTCAAGATTCCACCTTTCCAACCTTTGAGCATCTAGGAGGGTAAAACCTATGCTTCTTTTGTGTTTTTAGTGTTTTCTAAGGTGCCTTTTCTTAAAGGTAGAATCTTTATGATCTTTTGGCGTATTCTTGAAGTGGGTGAGGAAGGTGAACCTTGTTAGGAGCTTTGGGAAGTGTTAAGTGGAGGTTTTTGTCTACAAGAGGTAACCCATGCTCTATAAAATCTATTTTGTTTACCTATATGATGATTTATTGGATTCTACATGTGTTTTTGCTATTAAATGTGAGTGTTGATGCATTGTCTTGTGAAAATGCATATCAAGAGCTTGTTATTAGGGTTCATGTATGCCATTGCTTGGATATTCCTTGGATTCAATTCATTTTGTTGTATTTGGTGAGATTTGTCATGTTTGGACTTGAATTTGAGCTTGGGGTTGAAAATCCCTGAAGGGATGTTTTTGGTACAGGGTGTGTACCCGCGGGCGGAACGGCGGGCGGGGCACCACCCGCCGCCGCACCTACGTGTTACAAGCCTCATGAGAAGTGGTTCCCGTGGGCGGAACCACGGGTGGAGGTCCACCAGTGGCTCCACCCACGGGTACAATGTTGGTGTTTTTTAGGGATTTGTTCCCCGTGATTCTTTTGACTCGGTATTTGGTCTTTTGACTTTCAGATGTTCTCTTGTGGAACTATTTGTGCGTCTTCTTGATGTTTCGTATGTGTAGAACTATATGGTAGGAATCCATGTAGGTTTTGGTGTCTTGAATCGTGCTAATTGTTCAAAATTGTGATTCGTTGAACCATGATCAGTCTTGTGTGTTCTTCGAAACTATGTTTGGTTTACCCATTTGATAAACATGCTAGTTTGGTGTTTAAATGCTAGCGTGTGTGTTGTTTGTCCTTTCCTATTGTTGATGATGACTTGTGTTAATCATCGTTGTTGTTGGACTGTGATCCATTCCTTGATTGAGTATGGTTTCATATCTTCGTTGTAATCCGTTGATTGATTCCTGTTGTGGTGTGGTGTGTGTAGCTGTACCTGGATTGCACGATTAATGGTATGGGACATTAGTCACCAAGGTATGGCAGTGGTCCTCGTGGTGGCCATGACGCGATTATGGAGTTTGTGACCTGAGTGATAGGTTCACGTATTTCTTGGGTGGCATATGTTGCTGTGTGTGTGATCGGTACCTCGCGTAATATGAATCGGTGGTCTTGTTGGTGGTTGTTGGTGGGGGACGACGGTCCCAGGAGGGAAAAGGTTGGACTTGGATGTACAGGGGTCCTGGAGGTAATGGTTGGAACTAGACATAAGGATGGGGGTAGCCATAAGGTTGGAACCGGGCATAAGAAGACATCTCAATTCGTGATGGGTGATGTCACGAAGGCTTGTGTAGCCGTTGTTGTGTATTTCTCTATTTGTGTCATGTGTTGTCACAAATGCATGTGTTGCCAATGGTTGTGTCCTTATTCTCTTGTGTTATGCATGTCGGGTGTTAATCTACTGTGTGATGGTAGATTATGCCTTGAGCCGTTCTTGTGAGTCGTTATTAATTCTTGTGGTATTGGGATGTGTTCCCTTATCTTTATTGTGAGTGCAAAGAGTCTTGTGTTTGGCTTCTATCTTGGCATTGAAATTGATATATACTATATCCCGTTTCGCAAATGATTTTGTATATATATAAACTATCTACCTATGATATTTCACATGTATTGGTGGGTTACCAGCATCATTCGCTGACCGGGCGTCGTCCCATATATCTATGTGTATCTTTCAGGTGCTGAGTAGATGAGAGCGCGGTCTAGAGGTAGTTCGTGTAGATCCCTTTCCTTTGTGATGGTTTGGGCCTGCGTGCCTTTGATTAGACTCTAAACTTTATGTTGTTGACTTTGCTTTTGGGATTGATAGATTATGTTGCAGATGTTTACGCATTTGCGTTCACCGTTGTGTGAGCGTGGCATAACACTCTACGTTTTCCATCTATTTCATGCTTAAGTCTTCCGCTGTGTATGTTTTATGGTTAGTTTATCTGCATGTTTAAGGTTTAAATTCGTATGGAATTCGGGGGTGTTACAAAGACTCAAAGTTCAGTGACTAAGTATAAGAATCAGAGTTAAGAGAAACTCTAAGTATCAATTAGGAACGCGGTGA